CTTAGAGCGGCCAAGGTGGAGAAACACTGATCTAGACCAACATCCCATTGGGAGGTCAGCCCCAAGGAATCCCTCGCCGTGACTGCACATTTGCAGGGCTGCCAGACTGGGAAGGAGGACCTGGAAGGCTCCTCCTGTTGAGCTTTGGCCCTCCAGCGCTGTGGGGAGGCCCAGAGCACAGCACCCCTCTTCCTCGTCCACCAGACTGAATTGGAGAGTCTCAGCAGCTGGATTTGTGCCTCTGATTTGACACCTTATTTATGTCATGGCCTTGACAACTTCAGAAGGGTTAGGGCGGACGTCCCGCTGCGATGTCAGGCTGGATCGGATGAAATTGCTTCGGGGTTCTTCCCATGCAAACTCTCATAGGTTCTTCTGCGGCTCGCAGGTAATCTGCTTGTTTCCCTATGACGGTCAGCCCTTGTGTGATTTGATCTATTCTGGCTTAGCATGCTGCAAGAACCCAGCCAATACGGTTTATAAACCGTGGCTTATGTCTTCACGAAGCGGGTTGAAGCACCGCCTTGTAGATTATTTCACAAACCCTGCCTTGGCTTAATCTCTGAACTCAGCTGAATGACCGGAAACACGGTCCTTGGCCATAAGAGTGTCGAGAAATGTTTTATGTGCTGGATCGCAGCATGTGCCCGCTGGCTGCAGAAAAGAGCAGCGTGTGTCTGACGTACCCTCGGGAATGTTGGTCTCAGAAGAACTGGGCCTGTGGATGAACAGAGCAGGCGATTCTAGCTTTCCCCAAGTGTGTAGAAAGGGTGCCCTTGAAGGGGGCATCTCTGCCAGTGCCGGGCACGTGAGGGACAGCAGAACGTCAGGGTCCCTGCCTGGGTTTGACGATCCACTTCAGCCTGCAGCCTTCACCCTTCCTGCAGCACTAGGCGTGATGCAGACGAAGTCTCTCGGGCGCAACTTTGCTAGATTAGGGGTTTCTTGCAGAGAGACTGAAGGCTTAAGCTTAACCGTTGGTAGCGCCGATTTGGAGCTCCAGAGTTTATCCTTGAAGCTCTTTCCTTCCACCCTCTCTCTTGGATGGCCTTGGGAAGGAGCTGAGATGTTTGTTTAACAGTATTTCTAGTGATCCCAGTCTCAAAGGGTGCTGGGTGGCAAGCAGTTAAAAAAAGAAGAAGAATCAGCAGCAAAATCTAATATAATGAAATATATACAATAAGACAGTAAACCCTGTGAAACTGTTAAGGTGCCCCCAGTCAGCCTGGCCCAAGAGCCTGTTAGAAAAGGGTGCTTTTCGCTTGCTTTGGAAATGCCAGGAAGGGAGAGGAGAGAGGATTCCCCCAAGGGGGGGGGGTTGCTTTTTAGAAGGCCCCTCTTCCCCCCCCAAGGGGGGGGGGGTGGTTCCGAGAAGGCCCCCCTGCACCCCCCCAGGAGGGGGGGCTCTGCCCACCG